TGTGTTTATTAAAGCTGCAAAAGCAATGACGGTTCAGTTAAGCACGTTATTCTATAGATTTATACCAAATTCCAAATTAGACAAATCGCGCACTTTTCCTTTTATTTTACAAACTTCCTCATTTAATTTTAATCTCAACTTTTTAGAGTTCAGCAAAAGAAGTACAAAGCCGCAGAACTATAGCAGATGAGGAAGCACAAACGGGGCTAAAAAAGCAATTTCCACCGGAAAACACGATTACCGCAGCTACTGAACAGGATTATGAGGCCCCTCTACGCGAGTATTCCAAGTTCTCAGCCTCTGTGTCACAATTATTTGACAGCACCTTTTTGAACAACATAGTTGCAGCTGTAGAAAACGAGCCTCCACTCTCTCGTGAGGAACACCTACAGCAGTTGCGAATACGCGCTGGTTTGGTTCTTAGAGATGAACCAAGCCTTCATGACTACTACACTCAATCGTATCAACAACAGCAGAAGAAAACCACTCAAGACCGCGTGAATTTTACCGGTTCTCTTCCTGCCCTGAACACTCAGTCCATACCCAAACCCAGTGGAGTTTTTGGATCCTTCATGTCGAGAGCTCAAAATGCAGCGTCTGGCCTGATGAAGCAGGTGAATGTGGTAGCAGAAGCTGCGAAACAAGCTGTGTCTGAGGCACACACGATCATTTCGGCCGAAGAAAAACAGCTACATCAGCGGCAACAGTCTCAGAAACCGCAGCTGCAGCGGCAGCACTCCAGAAAGATCCCAGTTGGGTCAGATAGACTATCACAACAAGAAACCAATCTCCCAGAGTTAACTCCACCCACACCAGATGATGCAAAAAAAAGTAGTGATGAAGATGTGCAGGGCATTTTAATGCCCTCAGAGTTTGTTAATGAGGAGGAGAGAAAGGCAGCACGTAGGGCTTGGGGACAGTCGTCTTCAGTTGAACAAGATGATGAGGATTTTGGCGAAGACAATGTTAATGTGGACGATCGAGACGAATTCTTTGGCGATGAGGGTGATAGTAATCAATGGATTAAATCGGAGACGCAGAAGGGTCGGCTGAGATCCCGAAGGGAGGACCTAATGATGGGAGAAGAGGAGATTGATGATGAGGCATGGTTAAGGTCGCGTGACAAAGACGAACGTGCTGCCATTCGTGCAAGGGATGGAATGCTCATGGCAGCAGTCACAGGGATTCATGATCCGATGATTACTGGACAGGACTATTGTGGGGATGAAGATGAAGATGAAGATGATGAAGGCCATGTGGAGGACGCGAATCATAAGACTGCCAGAAGAAATGGACGGCAGGGTTGGAACCATGATGGGGATGAAGACGAGATCCGAACACACATGCATCATGGTAAGACTTTCAACTCCTTTGATGTAATATCATGCTGATGGGTGCATGCATTAAAGATATTATAAATCATTTACTGATTGCAGTCCATCTATCTGCCCATCTTTCAAAATTATGAGCGCGGTCGAATTGGTAGAGGTTACAATTTTCCTAAATTTCTCTTAGCGCAAAACATTACCTACCTTTGCA